GTCTGTGCCTGCACAAATGCATTTAAAAAAATTAAAAGTCACAGTAACAGAAGGTAAGGTGAAACCTTTTCTATTGATATAATTTCCATGAAAGTTGAGATGCTTTGAATGTATATGGATTGTGAACAGACATATATCCACAAATGTTATCTTATTTTGTATCTTAGTCACAGTCTATGGTCATACTGATGACCTTACTGTGATGATCAAGTGACTTTTCAATAAACTTTGACCCTTGAAGAATGATTAGTATAGAAAATAGTCTAAGTCAAAACATAGTCCCAAGACCCTGAGTACACCAACAGGCCTTAATGGACTTCCACCCACACACTCTGCCCATGGGCCTGTGGTGTCCACTTAAGCTCAGGCCTTAGTCACTTCCTGAGTTATGCCCAGTTGTGTCTAGCTCCAGTTTTGTCTCTGGTCCTGTCTCCTAGAAGGACTTTAGAGCCATGTCGTAGCCTTGTCTCCAGTCCTGTCTCTGACCCTGTCTTTTTTGCTCCTGTCTGGACTCCCTGGCTGGACCCTAAACCTGCTTCATCATCACCTGCTTGCTGATGGACCCTGATTCTAAGATCCTGCTCTGCTTGCTGTGTTCAGACTCTGTGGGATGGTGCCTTGTAGGTAAGGACACTGCTTGCACTGGGGTTAGCCTTGGCTCCCATCTCCCCTTCCCTCAGGTAGCAGCTGACGCTTGCTACTCACTGAAATGCAGATGGACAAAATCTGACATTTCAGTTAAGAAAACTCTACCAATCATTTCACCAACCTTGATTTCATTCAACCAACCAAATTCTGGTTCTTTCCATAACAGTATCACAGAATCATAGAATGGTTTGGTTTGGAAGCAACCTTTAAAGATCATCTAGTTCAACCCCTCTGCTGTGGGCAGGGACATCTTCAACTAGATCAAGTTGCTCCAAGCCCCATCTAACCTGACCTTGAACACTTCCAATGATGGGGCAGAAAGTCCTGGACAATGGGACTCAGCCTGGGGCCAATATGGATCTCTTCAATTGGCTTTCTGGACTGCAAGTGCACATTGCCACCTCATAGCTAATTTTTCATGCACCAGTAACTCCCAAGTCCTCCTCTGCAGGGCTGCTCCCAATCCCTTCATCCCCCAGCCTGTACCGATACTGGAGATTGCCCTGACCCAGGTTGAGGACCTTGCACTTGGTCCACTCATCAAGGCTGTTAAGGTCTCTCTGCATGACATCCCTTCCCTCCAGTGAATCAACTGCACCACTCAGCTTGGTGTTGTCTACAAACTTGCTGAGGGTTCACTCAATCCCACTGCCTGTGTCATTAGTAAAGATATTAAACAATCTTGCTCCCAATACAGACCCCTGAGGGACACCACTTGCTACTAATCACTGTTTGGACATTATCCAAATGTAGATTAAACAGTGACAGGAAAAACTCCTGGAAAATGGGTCTCTCAGTTATCTGTCCTGTTGAGTTGTAAAAATAGTCCTTGATATGGTTTTGACTAGTCAAACTATCACTTTTCCAAATAATTTCCAGGTACAGGAATACCCAGAAATTAACACTGAGCAAATATAATTCACAACTGACACTTTTTCAGAAAGCATTTTGTATTGTTCTAGTTGGCTTTGGTGCTGGAGAGTGATGTGAGCATGTTTCATTTACTGCTATTTTTGTAGACTGCATGTATCTGACTCAAATTCTCCTTATGCATACACATTTATGTAGATTTTCTCGCATGATGAAGACAGTTGATTTCCTTAAAAATATTCTAGTGTGTAAATTTGAACACATACACTCAATAAGGTAATGACCTTGATCAAGAACGCTGTCTGAATGGACTCCCATGAATCTTCAGGGACCATGAATTAAATTCTCTCAAAGGCGTATTTTAAAAATCATTCTCCCTCCAGCTCTGAAAGTCGTATAATAGATCTGTTTAGTTTATTTTCATACCAATTCAATGACATCAGCTCCATGCCTTCCAAGCTCTACTGCAGAATTTAGTGGGTAACTGTTTTGACAGTAGAATTCATGAAAGATTTACTGTATTTTTAGAAGCTGTCACTCAAATTAGACCAGCTAGGTATATCTGGATGCACACATGACAGTGAGTCAGAACAGCTATGAGAAGAGAATATTTAACATAAACATTTTAAATTTCCTTTTAACAGATTTTGTCTTCTACTAATAAATGACATACACATTTGTTTCGTAAGCATATTGTAATTATGTTAACGATGGTTACGGGATTTACCAGTGGAACTATAAGCATCTAATAACATATCCTACAAAGACAAAAAAGGAGATGCTTTATTTAGGTTTTCATTGTTGACCTACTGATTTACATTCAAATTACAAAGTTATTTATAACATTTCCAATCATTCTAGTCAGAGTTATTTTTAATTGCCTGCATTATTTTATGGAGACATATGCATTAGTATTTCATTTGATTATTCTTTATCACTGCAGTACAAAGTCTGTCTTGGTGAAGGAGAGGAAATAGATAATTTTCTCTACAAATTTAACTCCATGTCAGAGAAAGACTTCTGCTTTGTGTCATCAGGATAATCAAAATAATAGAAGGCAAAAGCAAGCGGGAGGAGTTTCTACCCAGTTCTGGATTGAGTATATCCATTATTTTCCATTCAAAGTGATCTTAACAGGCTGAGGGGACAGGCTGGCAGGATATCCATGAAGCTTAGCAAAGGCAAATGCAAGTTTCCATACCTGGAGTGGAATAATTGCATGCAAGTGTAAAGGCTTGGAGCTGACTGACTAGAAAACAGCTTTGCATAAAAGGATCTGGGGGTCCTGGTGGACAATAAATTAAATAGGAATCCACAGTGTGTTCTTGCATCAATGAAGGCTAACTACATGCTGTGCTTTAGAAAAAACAGAGCCAGCTGATTGAAGGGGAGTGGTTATTTCCTTCTGTGTGAGATTTATAAGGTTACATCTATATCCACCTGTAATCTACCCTGTACATGAAAGGCATTGACCACATGGTGCAACACTAGTGGAGGGCTATTAAGATGACTGGAGACCAGAGCACAAGTTGTATGAGGAGATACTGAGAAAGCCAGGTTTGTTCAGACTGAACATGAAAAGCTGAGAGAATGAAAGTAATTGCAGTGTTCCACTACCCAATGAGTAGAGAACATGAAGATCCACAGAGAACATGGATCCAGACTGTTCTTGGAGGTGCACAGCAAAAAGATGAGAAGAAACAGAAGCAAGTCAGAGCAAATGAATATTTAATTATATGTAAGGTAATAATTTTCATAATAAGGATGGTCAAATGGTGGATCAGATTACCCTGAGAAACTATGGAAACTCCATTCTTGGAGATATACCTTCACAATTATACTGAACAAAGGTCTGGGCAACCTGATCTAACTTGGGAGTTGAGTCTAACCTCTAAATTTGTTCTATGAACTTCTTATATGAAGCTGTTTAATAGCTTCATCAGTGACATAGACAGTGGGATTGGGTGCACCTTCATCAAGTTTGCAGATGACACCAAGCTGAGTGTCGAGCTTTACATGCCTGAAGGATGGGATGCTGTTCAGGGAGATCTGGGAAAGCTCAAGAAGTGGCCCATGTGTACCTCGTGAAGTTCAATGAGGCCAAGTGCAAGGTCCTGCAGCTGAGTTGAGGTAACCCCTGATATCAGTACAGGCTGGGAGATGAAGGAATTAAGAGCAGCCCGGTGGAGAAGGACTTGGGGGTACTGGTGGATGAAAAGCTGTATATGAGCTGGGAATGTGTGCTCATAGCTCAGAAAGCCAGTTGAATCCTGGACTGCATCAAGGAAGTGTGACCATCAGGTTGAGGGAGGTGATTCTGTTCCTCTACTCTACTCTGGTGAGACACCATCTGGAGTACTGTGTCCAACTCTGGAGTCCTCAGCACATGAAAGACATGGACTTGTTAGAGCAGGTCCAGAAGAGGGACACAAAAATGATCAGAGGATGGAACACCTCTGCTATGAGGAAGGACTGAGAGAGTTGGAATTGTTCAGCCTCAAGAAAAGAAGGCTCCAGGGAGGTCTTTCTGTGACCTTTCAGTACTTAAAGGGAGCTTATAAGAAAGATGGGGACAACCTTTTAATCAGACCCTGTTGCAACAGGAAGAGGGTTTTTAATGGTTTCAAACTAAACAAGGGTAGGTTTAGACTAGATATAAGGAAGACACTTTTTACTGTGAGGGTGGAACTTTTTACTGTGAGCTCTGGGAACTTGTTTCCCAGAGAAGTTGTAGATGCTTCATCCTTGGAAACATTCCAGGTTGTGTTGGACTGGGCTCTAACCACCCTGATTTAGTTGAAGATGTCCCTGCTCATTACAGGGGGTTTGGAACTAGGTGATCTTTAAGGTCTCTTCCAACCCAAATCATTCTATGATTCTGTAATGAATGTATATTCTTCCAAGATTATTGTTTTCTAGACTTTGTATTTATTTCTATTTTAGCAAGACAGTCAGCTAAGATTTTTCCAGGGGTTAAATGACCCTAGATTTTCCCCTGAAGGAACATTATTGTTTAATTTATTTGCCTATTCTCAGGAAAAGACAATCCTAATCCTCTGCTTGTGCAGACTAATGGTGATTTAGTGGTATAACTCAGAAAAAAAATGCACAGGGTAAAAAGTTTTTATGTTAGAATAATGTGACAAACATTCCAGCTATTCAGAGCAGCATCCTGGGCCTTACTCCTCTGCTAAGGTAGAGTAATAATAATTGAAGAGCAGCACTGTTTGAATTAGTATAGAAGTGTAGTTGAACAAATCCTTTTCCTCATTCCTGAAATTTAGGATGATGTACACAACAAACTATCAAGAGCACATACTAAATAAATACCTCATATGTATGGTTGCATTAGAAATGAAATAAAGCTCTTCAGATCCTTACAAGATGGGAGAGACTTTTAAAGAAATGAAATAAGGCACGTAGAAATGTTAAGTCAGCATGTCAGGAAAAACCCCTCAGTTTTTTAAATTGAACTTACTCACTTAGCATCTTCTTTCCTATCTTTGATCCAGCACTGTTCCTGTTGAGTTGTCTTAGCTGGTCTGGTTGATTTTTCAGTTTTTGAAGCTTCAGGTGTTTTTCCTGGTACTGTATTGAGAAAAAAGGTTTTAATTTTTGAATACCAATTTTTAAAGAATTACGATAAAACTTTAGGAGGAATCACAGCTTGGCTGCCATTATTTCTTCAGTGGACAAACACTACATGACACTGATTCTGAGACTTGACCTTTGAATAATTTCCTGCATAAATCTATGTCAGTGCCAGCTGTACAGAACATATTTATGATGAGTGTACCTTTTAGAATATGTAACTTGTGTTTTTTAAACTAGAGGCATCTATACTCAGCTCAAAAATACAGAGCTCTTCTATATTTGTAAGTAACAAGAACTCATTCAGTATGATAGAATTTTGGTCTGTGTTTATTTTAAAAAAATAGGTAGAGGACAGATAGATAGATCTGTCCAGAAATGCCTTGTCAAATACAGGAAATACATTTTTATGAACAGTAGCTTATTCACTTAAGCATAGAAATGCTAATGACATTTTTTATACTCCAGTCTTTGAATTGCATTAAACCTCTTGTTGCTTCAGCTGCCATGACAGTCCTGTTTACTGCTGAGTAAAAGACGATTGGAACATATCATAAGGATGTGAATATAGAAAACTTTGGCTAGTCTGTTTCTTTATTTCTGTTATGGGTAACTTTTTTAAAGGATTTTAAGTGGAAAGACTGTAGAGTTTGAAACAAACTCTATGTAAATGGTGGTGTCTTGCCATTTCAGTGACCTTATATGATTAATTTTTACAATTAGTCCTATGTATTTTAATTTTTTATGCTGAAAGATTATTCAAAAACTATCATCAGTCTGGCACTTTGTGTAAAGGAGGAACAAGATCAGCCTTCATAAATACTTTAAGTAATATGACTATTGAGGAAAAAGCTTGGCAGCAAAACATTATAGCAAATAAATCAGGAGCCTGTTGTGTATTCTGTATTTTGATTTCAAGACAGCTCAAAGAAAATAAAACCTTGAGTATTTTGGATAGATAGTGTAAGATTAGTTTTCTGATAGTTAATCTCCATGTTTAGAGAGTTGACGTTCATTTCAGAGGGGTAAAAGCAGTTACAACAGTAAACTGTTAAGCTGTTTGGCTGGAAAGTGGTTGCTTGAAATGACATTGAAACAAAACTTAATGAAGGACAGCGGGTCTGTTTACAGCACTTGATAAACCAAACTACCTGCCTACCACCATTTATTCAGATCTGGGATAATATTTTGTCCCAGCTAGCTATTAAGGACAACTCAATGTTTCTTGAGCTGCTTTTTAGACTTTTACTGGATGGATAATTTATTACAGGACCAATGGGGCCAGAAATATTCAAGCCAGAGTCAGACAAGGAACTGAAGAGAAGGCAAAGAAATTCGTGTTCCCCACTGTGCTGGTCAACTGGGTTTTGACTTAACGAGTTTAGGGCTTAATTTTCAAATAGTCCCTTGGAGAAATGTAGCACTGTTGAGCATGAAGAGACAATCTGCAGATTTGTATTACTTATCACCTGTAAGATAGGAAGATTTTTGTGAGGAATTCCATTTAAAACTCTGACATTCACTTAGATTTATGGCTTAAATTGATAACAGTATCTTGGCCACTTAATGAAAATGCAGATTATTGTTTCCTTTCTGCAGCAGTTAGTATTGCAGTACTATCTTGAGGAAAATTCTGTTGAAAATATAACACTGGGTAATGTTTCGTTTTACCTGAAGGTTCTGCCAGGGAATTTTCAAGGTACAGATTAGCACACATTCAGGGAAGTGAGGACTCCAAAGAGGACTGTTGCTATTCCTGTCCCCAGGAAGGTTAAGGAAAGAATGAAAGAGTTTCTTATGATTTGATTACAGGGGTTCAAAATGCTTTTCTGGGAGTTCCAGTCAAAAATAGTTTTTTTTTTTTTTTTTAGGAAGGAGGAATTTTAAAATTGTTTCAGACTTCTAGCACAGTGAATGTATTCTCATAGAAAAATAAAATTGATTTTTCCTGGGAATTTCAGAAACATCCTTTATAAGCAAATTGCAGAGGAGCTGCAGTTACAGAAAATAAAGGTGTTTTGGACCTATTTATAACTGATTAATTTGTGGGTCTTGATACTGAACCTTAACGTGTTAAAATTCTATTTAACACTTTCCCCAGGGGATCTTCACAAATGATGCTACTGACTCTTGCTTTCCTTGGCACACAATTCTCCTGTGGTTTTGTGGTCAGCATGACATGATGTAGAAAAGTAGATGAAAGATTCAAAAATTTCAGCACTTGCTGTGGTTTCTGCTCCTATCTGAATTCATGGTTTGTAGTTTCCCAGTTCTCCCTGCCCTGACTCCTCCAGACAAAAAAACATGTACTCAAAAGTGACAGAAAGGCTAATCTGAACATTTCTGCAATTATCTCACTTTGGGAATTTTCTTTGTTATAGTAACTGACCTGAGTTATATCTATATGAGCAGAGAATACAACCTGATAGGAACAAACAGAACAGTGAAATGGTGCTGAAGGCCTGGCATCCAAGCTGTATCTGTCTGAGGCAACTGTATTTCAAACCAAGTCTATTGTGATCCTCTGAAATGAATGACAATCAGCATCTGGAGTAAAGTAGGTTGACTCACACAGTGCTTTGTCTGGTTTAGTTTTATTGTAAAGAATACAGTCATGCATTCCTAGAGGTTTTTTTGGTGAAAAAACAGAGTGCAGTGGGGGACAATCAAGAGATTTGTTTCAGAAGGGCATTCTTCATTTGAAATAAAATGCCAGTGTAAACACTATTTAGAGTAACAGGCTCCTGAATAAGACAATCCATGTCTGTAATGACAATACATGTATGGGAAGGGAAGACCACAAAGTAAAAAATGATAGTGCTTGCACATAGGCATCTCGTTGCTCATAGACATCTTCTCAGCCTGACAGATACTCTCGAGGTATTCGACCTGAGTTCTGAACCCACAACAACCATTAAATGCTGACTGGACTCAAACTGATGTAAAACATTGTAATCCCATGAATATTCCAAACTTCCACAGTTTTTTAGAGTTCATAAACCTTCATGGCCAGCACAGGGATTACTTGTATTAGGATTAGGATATCATGTTTTAGCACCACTGCTAGCTGTGTGTCACGTTTAAGTTGTTTCTTTCTGTGTGAAATTGTGAGGGTTGTCTGTGTAGTCACACTTAAAAAATCCTAGTAGCTCTTCACTGCTTAAATGTAGCTCATACTCCTCTGACTTATGAGACCAGCCCCAAAGGAATACCTTTAAGAAGAATGTGGTAGTCATTTTGGGGAACATTTAGATTGATTTCTAGAATAAATAATGATCCATCAGGTAGATGGCAAGGCTTACAGGACAACAAATAAATCTCTTTTATGCTTTACATAAGTCCGGTCATGGTAAAGAGATCATGAGTGAGAAAAAGGAGACAGAATTATGTCCAGGCACCAACAGCTAAAGCATTTTTCAAAACAGATAGATCTATGCTTACTCAACAAAATACGGGATTTGACTTTTTTAAAATTTCCATTCCATTATACTGGAATATAGGTTGGTAAAGATGCCAACATATTAGTAGTGGGAGTTGAGGAATGCAGCCACTGGTATCTATGCATTCTGGATCATTCGGCCTCCCCATAAAAATAGTATAATTTAAAATTCAGTTGGGATAAATGTTGCTGGTTCTGTTTTAAGATGGAAGGGAAAAGAACCAGTTGGGGAAGTACAACTGTAGGCAAAACACCACTTAATAGAATCCCTCAAAAAGGTAGTTGGTTAAATTAAGAGGCTCACTGAAACATCTTCATACCGGTGGTCTGCCTAGGATAACAAGGAGCAAGGAACAAGATACAGGTTATAAGACCAATTCGTTTCCCTCTTTTAGTCTTTCATATTTTTCTCATTTTCCACAGGTCTTTGTTCTTCCAGAAGCAAATTAGGCCTGGCAAAAAAGTAAGAAAACAAGGCTATTGGTAGGACATCGGTCTTTTACCTGTATTATCTTAGTCAGGTTGATGAACCTGACTAACTTTCCACCTGGAAGTTAGTATTGTTAAACCTTCATTGTTTATTCTTGTCCCCTATTTTTATACTTCCAGTAAAACAACATGGGAACAGTATTACAGGATTAGGTTAGAACAGCCAGAAGATCTCTGCATGTTGGAAGAGTATATCCAACTTATTCTGAGGCTGCTCAGCTCCCTCGTTCATGTTTCCATAAAGCAGTTTTATCTTCAGTTTTCACTTCACAATTTTGGACAGAGACCCTTGACAGTCTTTCCAAATTCACTTGATTTCCTACTGCCACACACACACACTTGCAGAATAGCCTGTAGCAGAGTATTTCCCATTTTTTCACTAGAAAAAAAATGAAATACTTTGTACTTATTTATGGGTTTTAAGTTTAATGTTGGGTTTTTTATTTAAACTGTGTAATAATCACATGAAACTAGAAGTTCAGGCTTCACAAAAAGCAGAATATTGTGAGGCTAAGCATACCATTGGAAGAGCTGGCAAAGCTGGTTTTAGTTTAAACCTGCTCATGTAGAACCAACTCCACTGCCATATTTCTAAAATTTAGCACTGTACAAACTGTCCTAAAACTGTGGGCATTAGTCCTAAAGACCTTTTTCCACAGAGGAAACTGTTGGTATAGGTAGATTTGCCAGTGATGGGACACAGCACTGCAGAATTGTTATTCTTGCCGTAATAATTTTGATTTTTCTAAAGCCTTCAATCCTAAACATACATAAGGATTGGTGGATCCAAAAATCTCTATCATGGGTCTAGCCCCATAGAGGTGTTGCTGACGTCTCTTCTGGCAATAGTCAATGTCAACAAAGGACTCTAAATCCTCATGGATCCACTGAGATAAGTGTTATCTTGTGGCCATGAATATTATCATGATCCTTCCACCAGTAGAGCATAAAACGTTATTTCCTAATACAGTATGTACTTACAAACAGAAGGGGCAGATTAAGTCCGTAATTTTACACTTATACATCATTTATTCTACTTCCCATTCCTATTCCTGCTGTTTCTGGTGTT